TCACCGTACAAATGTCATTAACAAACTGCCAGTGTCACCTGTGACTCACTGCCTTCCTGCAGGGAACTGATTCTCTTAAGCAGCAGTCTTTAGAGTTAACTGCCTTGCTCATGCTATGGGGCTGAATCAAAACGAAAACAATGACACACTTACTCTTCTGGGACTGCTTTTCCCTCCAATCTTTACTTGCCCTGAGTTCACAGCTACAGTTGATACTTGGATCTAACCTTTGTTTTACCTTTAACGGTCACTTAATCCATTAATTTATTTCAGAGGGTTTTAACAGCCATAACTTCAATGCTTTTGCTTGATACAGTGCAGTTTAAACATGCCGAGCTTAAGCAATTAATGGAGATTATTTCCATTTTGACTCAGCCCTGAGGTGAGATAGTTTAGTTCAGACCATTCCCACAAACTACTGAAATCCTGCGTAGCAAGGAAAGCAAAGCCTTCAGAAAGCTGTTGGTACTGACATCGTGAAGAAGGAACTCACAACAGGATTAAAACCTAGCAAGAATGACACTTAACAACTGTAGCACCAAGTAATAAAGAAGAAACACTGTCATCCACCATACAAGGCCTCCTGTTTTGAGCCTTTCAAAGCCAAATCTATACATCTGAGATGGAGTAAGACTGTCATCCAACGCTGTACTAAAACACTGCTAAATGCTGTTAAGTCCTATTGCTCCACAGCTTCACCGCAGACACAACTCCAGCTGCCTCGCTGTCCTGAGCTATTTGAGAGGGCTGCATACTTTAAGAATAAAAAGCTTGTTTACACCCTTTTACGGCACAAGGCCTATCTCACCCTTCCCCTGGCTAAGTCTTCTTACATCGCTTCAGAAAAGCACAGACATTCAGAAGCCTTTTGAGAAAAACACACACACCCCCGACCTGCTTTCAGCAGAAGAGGACGAACAAATATGGACATAAACACCGCCCAGGGCAGCCACCCCTCCCGCTGCTTTAAAAAAAAAAAAAAAAAACCAAAAAAAAACAAACAACAACAAAACAAAAAACCAGGAGTAACCCCAAATGCGAGCCAAAACCTTTGACCAAAGTCCCACGGCGGGTAACAACGCCACACACAAACACACACCCCCACGCACACACCCGCTGCACTAAACCCACCTCACTGCTACAACCCG